GGACTGGGGAAGGGCATGGAAATGAGTTTTTTTGGGGGGAGGGTGGGCTGTGAGATGGTGTGGTGATGAAGACAAGGGCTCTCCAGCTTCCCCAGGGAGTTGCCTCAAGCATTCCCATTCCTGCAAATTCCCTGTTGTTCAGGTGCTCAAAGGGATGAGAGTGCAGGGCTGTCCTGGCCATGGGACCCACGTCTCAAATAAGGAAGAATGACACAGAAAATGTTGGACTGGTGTGTGGGGTCTGGCTATCTGGGTGCCGCAGGGACTTCTGGGAGTTGTAGTCCTAAGACTCTGTTACACATGCTCAAATGGATGCTTGTATGGGATTGGCTGACATGGTCACATGTTGTGATGTGCCAGCATTTGAAATGGCTATATAAGTAAGGGACCTGGGAATAAATTTTTTCTTGTTACACACCACGTTGGTGGTCTCACTGGTCCTTTGGGACTCACCAGTTATTATATAACTGCTACATTTGGCGCCCTGAATCAAAGACTAATACGGACCAGGCGTTAGGAACCAGCCTATATTAGAGCTGAAGAACGCCCGCCGTAAAAAAGGCGAAAAGCGTCAGGTACCAAAGGAGAGAATCCTTTGATGGGCGCTAGCGGCGATTGCCGCGTGTGAGCTCGAAAAAAAAGGCCTAAATACTTGGTAGGACTTTGCCTATGTTAGGAGAGAACGCCTCTTGGGAACCAGAAGAAAGAAGAAAAAACCCGTGCCTTTGTCCCAGTGTGAGAAATAAATGAAACGGTTTTATTACAAGCAGGGTTTCCATGACTGCCTCATGATGAGGAGTTTGTGATCAGGGGTGTTCCACAGTTCCCTATGGCTGCAGTTCCATCGCAGCCATGACCTGTTAATAGTTGTGATCATGTTACTGTTGTTTGCTATTGCTGTGTGAAGGCGAACCGGGAAGCCTGTAAGGCAATGAGACCAGCCAGGGCTCATTGCCGAGGGACCATGCGGCCGGGACAGGGAAACAATCTGATAGGTTGGTTAAAACGACCAATGGACTGCAGAAGAGAAGTGTGAGCCCGCCCTGAGAGAACCAATCGGGCTCAAGAAAAGGCTATATTGCCTTTTAGGGAAGAAAGAGAGCAGAGCAGAGCATGGGAGGGACAAGGGAACAGTTATGCAAATTGAGAGACCTTAAA